GCATAGTTTCACTTCCTTAACTACGGTACTAGGTTGTCTCATGTGGCATAGTTTCACTTACCGTACTTAACTACTAGGTTGTCTCATGCGGCATAGTTTCACTTACCGTACTTTACTACTAGGTTGTCTCATGTGGCATAGTTTCACTTACTTAACTACTAGGTTGTCTCATGCGGCATAGGTTCACTTACCGTACTTTAACTACTAGGTTGTCTCATGCGGCATAGTTTCACTTACTTAACTGCTAGGTTGTCTCATGTGGCACAGTTGCACTTACTTAGTTTCACTTACCGTACTTTTCTACTAGGTTGTCTCATGTGGCATAGTTTCACTTACTTAACTACTAGGTTGTCTCATGCGGCATAGTTTCACTTACCGTACTTTAACTACTAGGTTGTCTCATGCGGCATAGTTTCACTTACTTAACTGCTAGGTTGTCTCATGTGGCACAGTTGCACTTACTTAACTACTGGGTTGTCTCATCTGGCATAGTTTCACTTACTTAACTACTAGCTTGTCTCATATGGCATAGTTTCACTTACTTAACTACTAGGTTGTCTATTACTATTATGGCATAGTTTCACTTACTTAACTGCTAGGTTGTCTCATGTGGCATAGTTTCACTTACCGTACTTAACTACTAGGTTGTCTCATGCGGCAAATTTTCACTTACCGTACTTAAATACTAGGTTGTCTCATGTGGCATAGTTTCACTTACTTAACTACTAGGTTGTCTCATGTGGCATAGTTTCACTTACTTAACTACTAGGTTTTCTCATCTGGCATAGTTTCACTTACTTAACTTCTAGGTTTTCTCATGTGGCATAGTTTCACTTACTTAACTACTAGGTTGTCTCATGTAACATAGTTTCACTTACTTAACTACTAGGTTGTCTCATGTGGCATAGTTTCACTTACTTAACTACTAGGTTGTCTCATGTAACATAGTTTCACTTACTTAACTACTAGGTTTTCTTATCTGGCATAGTTTCACTTACTTAACTTCTAGGTTTTCTCATGTGGCATAGTTTCACTTACTTAACTACTAGGTTGTCTCATGTAACATAGTTTCACTTACTTAACTACTAGGTTGTCTCATGTGGCATAGTTTCACTTACTTAACTACTAGGTTGTCTCATGTAACATAGTTTCACTTACTTAACTACTAGGTTGTCTCATGTAACATAGTTTCACTTACTTAACTTCTACTTTCTAGGTTATCTCATGTGGCATAGCTTCACTTACCGGTACTTAACTACTAGGTTGTCTCATGTGGCATAGTTTCACTTACTTAACTTCTAGGTTGTCTCATGTGGCATAGTTTCACTTACTAAACTACTAGGTTGTCTCATGTGGTATAGTTTCACTTACTTAACTACTAGGTTGTCTCATGTGGCATAGTTTCACTTACCGTACTTAACAACTAGGTTGTCTCATGTGGCAGTTTCACACTAGGTTGTCTCATGTGGCATAGTTTCACTTACTTAACTTAACTACTAGGTTTTCTCATCTGGCAAAGTTTCACTTACTTAACTTCTAGGTTTTCTCATGTGGCATAGTTTCACTTACTTAACTACTAGGTTGTCTCATGTAACATAGTTTCACTTACTTAACTTCTACTTTCTAGGTTATCTCATGTGGCATAGCTTCACTTACCGGTACTTAACTACTAGGTTGTCTCATGTGGCATAGTTTCACTTACTTAACTTCTAGGTTGTCTCATGTGGCATAGTTTCACTTACTAAACTACTAGGTTGTCTCATGTGGTATAGTTTCACTTACTTAACTACTAGGTTGTCTCATGTGGCATAGTTTCACTTACCGTACTTAACAACTAGGTTGTCTCATGTGGCAGTTTCACACTAGGTTGTCTCATGTGGCATAGTTTCACTTACTTAACTTAACTACTAGGTTTTCTCATCTGGCAAAGTTTCACTTACTTAACTTCTAGGTTTTCTCATGTGGCATAGTTTCACTTACTTAACTACTAGGTTGTCTCATGTAACATAGTTTCACTTACTTAACTTCTACTTTCTAGGTTATCTCATGTGGCATAGCTTCACTTACCAGTACTTAACTACTAGGTTGTCTCATGTGGCATAGTTTCACTTACTTAACTACTAGGTTGTCTCATGTGGCATAGTTTCACTTACTTAACTTCTAGGTTTTCTCATGTGGCATAGTTTCACTTACTTAACTTCTAGGTTTTCTCATGTGGCATAGTTTCACTTACTTAACTTCTAGGTTTTCTCATGTGGCATAGTTTCACTTACTACAAAGGGGTCGTTCGCAAATTACGTCACACCAAAAATGACATTTTCAGACCGTCCCCTCCACCCGCCCTAGTGTCACGTCACACCTAAAAAAATTTAAAACATACATACAATTTTCATAACTAAACTAAGATTGTATAACATTTTCCCATAATCATAATGGATAAGAAAACTGTGACGAAAAACAACAATGTCATTCCAAAGCCGAATGTAAAATGGCCACAAAAGTTTTTGCGTCATTTTTGGATATGTGCAGAAGGTTTGAGCGACTGAGTTTCACGGTACTATGACGCCTGAGGTAATTTCGACATCAAATTAATGTTTTTAAAATTAATGAATAAATATTTTTCAAAGTAAGAAAATTTTTAATTAAAAAATAAAAGTGTAAGTCCCAATTTTTTTACCCCCCCCTCCTCTCTGTGCGAGACGTAATTTGCGAACGACCCCAAAGTTGTCACGTGTGGCATAGTTACGCTACTAGGCGTCTCATTTCCCAACTTATTCCGGGAAAATGGGACAAAGGTGACTCTCCCGTCATTTAATTAAAATAAAAAAAGTTTTGTAAATTTTACTAAGTGGTGATTCGTAAATTACGTCACGCTCAAAATGACATTTTAGACCCCCCTCCCCCATGTCACAAATTCTTAACCGCCTCCAACCCCCCCGTCACGTCTAAAAAAATAAAAACAACATACAATTTTCATACCGGTAACTAAACTAAGATTTTATTTTATTCGTTAATATTTTCCCCTAATGGATTAATATGTTGTATTATTACAAAACAGATTTTCTTAGTACCTATATACCCGAGGCAATTTCGAAACTCAAAGAAAATTTTGGATTTAAAAAAAAAAAACGAAAAACGTGACATCATACATTTAACCCCCCCCCCCCCCCCCCCCCCCCACCCCAATACAACTCCCACCCCCCCCCCCCCCTCAACCCCCCCCCCCC